AGTTCATGATATTGTTATTATTTACGATGTTTCACATTAGTATGAGTTTCCACGGAGCACAGTGCCTAGTGCTCACTCCCCAGTTTTATTCTATTTTTCAGGTCAGCAGATCGGGACTTTCAGGACATTCATATATATATTTTGGACTGTATAACTATAACTTATGCTTCCGCTTACGTTTTGACAGTCTTTTGACGATGTTTTGATGGTTTTGGCGAACTTATTATATTTCGACGTACTTTTCAGAAAACACAGTTTTTCAGTAACCGGACGTTCTTAATAAGTTAAAACAACGGTTTTCTAAAATTAAGTAACGATTTTCACGGTAGCACCCCAAATCAGTTTCGCCAAGTAAAAATGTTTTAATTATCAAAGACTTTGCGAATAAATGCGCAACTCTGATTTATCTAGTAAGGTGGGGTGTTACAATTGGTATCAGAGCACGTTTCTGCGTCTCTGATAAGTTTTCCAGTCAGACATTTTTCAGAAAACCTGAACTGTCATGCTCACGCCCCGCCGACGACAGGTAAGTGCTGATGCAGTTTTTTTCAATTATAAACATATTACTTTGTCTATGCTCAGAATTGAGGATCAGGACTTTAGTTAAGATGCTCGAATAAGGTTCAGATTTTAGAGTTCGGACATGACTCTAGAATTCAGGCATTCAGATATGACTCTAGACATTAGGATCTTCCTATATGACTCTAAGGTTCTTCAGGTTTCACGTCAGTAATTATCGGCCATTTTTAGCTACTCGTCAAGAGATTTGTGTGCCTTAGTAATCAGTCAGTAATGTTATCATGTATTCAGTAATGTTAAACTTTCTCAATGTTCAGATGCCGCCCCGTAGGGAACCCGATCACCCAGTTTTTATTCAGGCCACAGTAGTCGCACAGTTCCGCGACTATCATGTTGAGAAATTCTCCAGGTGGGAAATCCCTGTATTGGGGACGAGTGGATTCAGAACCTTAGAAAGAGGATTAAGTTTGTGAACTCTAGATTCAATTCTAGATTCACTCAAGTCAAGTTAGCAACTAGTCAGAAGATTTGTAAGCACTCGTGCTAAACAAATCTTAATAATCATGTTTCTCAAATATTTTTATCGAGAACTGCGATTTTGTCAATCAATTGGCAGACTCTAGGGAGAAATTCCTTGATTTAATTTGAGGAATAGACTCAAAGTTCCTAAGTCAGATCAGTAAGTCATGTTCAAGGCAAGAATTTTCATGTTAAAGGTTGTTATAATTCTCAAGTCATTGTTAAGGTAACGGTTTCCAGTGTATAAGAGTCAATAGTCCGGGTTACCATGGAGGCTTGAAATAAGAGCCACTCAGCCGGGTATACCATGGAGGCTTGAAGCTGGGGCCGAAACAGTAAGATTTCAGGTAATAACAACCTTTCAAGTCAGTCATGTCAGATATTTTATCAAGTTATGACTTTCAGAAATCAAGATCAGCCAATTACTTTGTACTTGCGGGACCAGTTGATACTGGAGCAGCCCTATATAGTACAGAGTTCAGGTTCACGATTTACAGTTTATGTTCATGATATAAGGTCGACGTATAATAGTTGTTCAGTTGGGTAAAATGTGGCGGTCTGATATACAGACCATTAGTCCAGATTTACCTGGAAACTTGAAGTCGCACCTTATCAAGTCAAGTAAGGCAGTAAATATCATGTTTTCAATCTCGAAGCGACTATTTAGTTGTCTCGGAATAGTTTTCAGAGTTCAGATAAAGATGATTCAGTTATGTAGGAGTCAAACCATGGTTATTCAGTTAGGTGAATATTCAGGCCAGTCATGTCAAGATCGAGGATAGTCTGTCTGGTAAGACAAGACTTATCTACCATTTTCAGTATGTCAGCGCCTCGATTCTCAAATTCTGAAGAATCTGAGAAATCGTGGGAGATATTAAGTCATGAGGGACTTCTTCTTGAGGTTAAGTTTAACCTCGGAGGGAGAAAAAGTTGCAGGTACCACAGGTTGACATTCGCCGCGATGAAGAAGAGCCAATCGA